CGTGGCAACAGTAGTGAGGTTGGCCCAGGATTGGGCAGTGTTTCATTCTGTTGTGCATAGGGTTGCTATGAGTCGGCACCAACTCGATTGCACCTAACAACAACAATATATATATTATGCTAAATGCCAAGACAAAGACTGCTGGTGATTCTAACATCCAATCATGAAAAGCAGTTTATATAGATCATTCACAATGACCTTGGCTTTAGTTAAATGGAATCGCTTTCATTCAAGGTCAAATAAACAAATTCCCAAATCATGAGAGCAATTGGCCTAAAAATTGAAAAAGATGCCCAAATGGCCAACTTCCCAAATCCAAAACATCACTATTATTCAACTCTTTTTCTTCTATTTAAATTCCTTGATCTTCAAAGAGTTTGTGAGTATTGGGTTGCTAGCCAAAAGATCAGTGGTTCGAACCCACAGCTGCTCCAAGGAAGAAAAATGTGCAGTCTGCTTCTGTAAAGATTTGCAACCTTGGAAACTCTAGGGGAAGTTCTACTCTGTCCTACAGGGTCACTGTCAGTTGAAATTGGCTCTATGTCAGTGGGTTTCAGGAGATGAGATGGACTGATCACTGTATACACATGAACCAGGTGTCTTTCTCCTCTCTAAGCTACTGCTAGGACTTATTCATTTTTCGTGGAGACAATGCATAGACCCTACAGCTTCTAAGAAGCTGAGTGTAGAGGAAAAGTGGCCTCACCTCGAATTTCTTATTCCATTCCAAATGCAAAGTGGTAGCTGGCGAACAAGACAGAAAATGTTGACAGAATGAACTACTTGACTTAAATTTTCCCAAAAAACAACCACACTTGAAAGTCGCAGTTTTGAGGAAACATATCCAAAAGGAAGGAAAAATATTAAGGGAGAGCTAGATATCCAGGGCCTTGGTGTGGTGCTATAGGATAAGCACTGGATACTACCCTGGCATGGTGCTGTAGGATCAGCTCTGGACTTGCGAATCATGAGGTCAGCAGTTTAAACCTACCACCACCACCACGCTAACCTCAAGGTCAGTGGTTCAAACCTACCAACTGCTCCTCAGAAACACTCTACAGGGTCGCTATGAGTGGGAACTGACTCGACAACACTTTAACAACAACAACAACAATAATCTTTCCAGAAACAGATCACCAGGTTATTCTCCTGTGGAGTCTCTGATGGATTCCAACTGCCAGCATTTTGGTGAGTTGCCAAGTGATTCATGAAATGTAACTTCTTCTAGTACCAAGGAACCTAATTATTATTGATTTGTGAAATGGCAGGAAATTAATCATTTTGATTTCTGTATTTTCAGTTTTGCATAATGAAAACCCCAGATCCTTGACATATTTAAGCTCATTACAAAAATACCAAGGCAATAACATGACAGGCACAATGAACCACTGAGGACCAGCTGCTAGATAGAAAGGAGCTTAAAAAGACATTGTCTCTGGTAATGACCTAGAAATGTCCTTTTCTGGCTTCTTCATGATTTGAGCTTCATGTTTATGTTGTTGTTTGTTTTTAACGAATGGAGGAATGAAAGAGTGATCGCTTCTTGGTCATTAGCTCTGCAGATGTTCCAAGGTGTCGGGGTCTGACCTCGACATAGCTGTGTTGTTCACGAGTGTTTGGTTCACGAGGAGGGGAGATCCAGCGGCGATAGGGGGGGATAGCGAAAGAATACACAGACAAACAGAAGAAGGGAGACAATGAGGCACCCCAAAGCCAGGGTGGATACATCACTGGTGGGCAGGCTTGGGACTACAGGC